CACATTTATCTCCACTGAATTTCCCACTTTAAGTTGGAAAAATGAAGCTGATGAATGTGATCAATGTCCTAGGTATCATTTCTTTACCTCTCTTTTATTTCTATATATTTATGACTTTTTTCAAGTGAATATATGCAAATGTTTAAAAAGCAAAGGTACAGACAGCCTTGTACTAATAACAGCTTGGTGGGTAAGGACAGTAATCCCCACTTTTCCTCTCCCCAGCCTCACTCTGCCTTCCGGTTCCTCACATTTCTGTTTTTCCTTTTATATTGTCCAAGCTGAATGACCTATATATTTGGTTACATAATCATAATTAAAATCCTCTGTTCATTTTTAATAGTGTTACTCTAAAGTTGAAGATCACATAAGTGCTTACATTATCGTGAATATATTGGGATGCGCAAAGAAAATTAAATGTCTTCTTCTTCGTGACTGATGTGATCTTAATGATGCTCCCTGACCCTCCTATGTGCCTGGGAGAGCATTGCCTTGATCACCAATTATATGTCATCATGTCCTGGGCCCCCAAGACCACTTCCCACCTCCAGATTCAGTGATTCACCAGGACTCACCATGCCGTCACGCACGTAGCTAAGATTCACTGCCACAAAAGGATACGAAGCAAAGGGAGAAGGTCCAGCAGGAGATGTTTAGGGGAAACTACAGGCAAGGCTCTGAGTCCTCTCGCAGTGGTCAGTCAAGAGGCACTCATTCCCCCGGTAGCCACTTGTGACAACGTGTGTGAAGTGTTGTCTGCCAGGAAGCTCATTAGAGACTCAGTGCGCAGCAATTTTAGTGGGAACTGGTCATGTAGCCACCTCTGCCTGAGGCTTTGCAGAGGGTGAGCTGTTGCGCATAGCCATGGTTTGTACAGACAGTTCAGGCTCTACACACCAGCCATAGCAGTAAGGGAATGGTGAGGACACTTGTAAAATTCACATTCCGAGATGCCAGCCAAGTCCAAGCTTGAAAGCAGGCTTTGCAAAGCATCGCAGTTTCAGTCCTGCTCTCTTTTCTGCACACTTACCTCCATCTTAAGCAGTGGCTTTTGGGTTAATGATCGGTGGCTCCCAGATGTGGCTCCCTTTGAGGTCTGGGGTAAAGAGCCTCGTCAAATGGCTCAGTCTCTTTCAGGTACAGCTCAGGCCTGGAGAACTGCTCTGCGTCCCCCTGCTTTGCTCTAGAATAGCACGTCTGTGCATGCATGAGTGTGTGAGTGGATTAGTATTTGTACGCCTGTGTGCTATGTGGTGTCATGTGTGTGTGCATGTGTGTGTGTGGTGTGTTTATGCATGTGTGGTGTGTCTTGGTGTGCATGCATATGTGTGGGTGTATGTGCGTAGGGTGTGTTAAGTGTGTGGGGTGTGAGGGATGGGTGTGCACATGTACATATGTTGCATGTTTATGCATGTGTGGTGTGTCTCGGTGTGTGTTCATGGGTGTGGGTGTATGTGTGTGGGTTGTGTTAGGTGTGTGGGGTGTGTAAGTTGTGTAGGATGTGTGTGCACAGGTACATATGTGGTGTGTTTATGTGTGTGTGGTGTGTCTTGGTATATGTGCATGCATGTGGGTGTCTGTGATGTGCGTGGGATGTGTGTGCATATGTACATATGCATGTGTGGTGTGTCTTGGTGTGTTCATGTGTGTGGGTGTATGTGTGTGGGTTGTGTTAGGCGTGTGGAGTGTATAAGTTGTGTAGGATGTATGTGCACAGGTACATATGTGGTACATTTATGCTTGTATGGTATGTCTTGATGTGCATGCATGTGTGTGAGGTGTGTGTGGGGTGTGTGATGTGTTTGGGGTGTGTGGGTTGTGTGGGATGTGTGTGCACGTATACATATGTGGTGTATTTATGCATGTGTATTGTGTCGGTGTGCATGCATGTGCGTGAGTGTATATGTGTGGGTGTATGTGTGTGGGGTGTATGGGGTGTGTGGGATGTGTGTACACATGTACATATGTGATGTGTTTATGCATGTGCGGTGTGTCTTGGTGTGCATGCATGTGTGTGGGTGTATATGTGTGGGGGTATGTGTATGGGTGTGTGGGGTGTGTGGGGTGTGTGTACACATGTACATATGTGGTGTGTTTATGCATGTGTGCTGTGTCTTGGTGTGCATGCATGTGTGTGGGTGTATACGTGTGGGTGTATGTATGTGGGGTGAGGTGTGTGCGGTGTGTAGGGTGTGTGGGGTGTGTGTACACATGTACATATGTGGTGTGTTTATGCATGTGTGCTGTGTCTTGGTGTGCATGCATGTGTGTGGGTGTATATGTGTGGGGTGTGTGGGGTGTGTGAGGTGTGTGGGGTGTGGGGTGTGTGAGGTGTGTGTACACATGTACATATGTGGTGTGTTTGTGCATGTGTGCTGTGTCTTGGTGTGCATGCATGTGTGTAGGTGTATGTGTGTGGGGTGTGTGAGATGTGTGGGGTGTGGGGTGTGCGGGGTGTGTGTACACATGTACATATGTGATGTGTTTATGCATGTGTGGTGTGTCTTGGTGTGCATGCATGTGTGCGGGTGTATACGTGTGGGTGTATGTGTGGGGGGTGTGTGAGGTGTGTGGGGTGTGTGGGATGTGTGTACACATGTACATATGTGGTATGTTTGTGCATGTGTGCTGTGTCTTGGTGTGCATGCATATGTGTGGGTGTATACGTGTAGGTGTATGTGTGTGGGGTGTGTCAGGTGTGTGGGGTGTGGGGTGTGTGGGATGTGTGTACACATGTACATATGTGGTGTGTTTGTGCATGTGTGCTGTGTCTTGGTGTGCATGCATGTGTGTGGGTGTATACGTGTAGGTGTATGTGTGTGGGGTGTGTCAGGTGTGTGGGGTGTGGGGTGTGTGGGATGTGTGTACACATGTACATATGTGGTGTGTTTATGCGTGTGTGGTGTGTGGTATGCTGTGAGCATGCATTCCTGTGTGTGTAGGAGTGAGTGTGTGGGGTATGTGTGAGTGTGCTAGGTGCCTGTCTTGTGCGCACGTGCAATGGTGAAGGAGAGAGGGAGGGAGCACTCCTGCAAACCGGCAGAGGTGGCTCTGAGCCCCTTTCCACCTCCCACAGCATGTTCCCCAGCATCTGCTGCAAGGTGGCAGGGCAGCTCTGCACCGGTTTCAGAAGCAGAGAAGGGCCTTGAGCTGACTCGTGATGACCGATTTAGTTCCTACAGCTTAAACACTGGCTGCATCCAAACGTTGGTAGTAAAATCACCATAACCTCCACCCCTGAATCCTAACCTTCTGCCTTGCGCTGGGCTCTGGCCTCATACCACGTCTCCTGGAAACTGCCCATCTCCTCCAGCCCTTGATGCCACCTTCCCTCCTCCTTCCTTCTGTGTCACAGCTGGGGAGACCACAGCTCACCTCTCCACTCAGCCCCTCATGTGACCACCTCGCTGCTCCACCCCCGGGAAGGAGGTCCGGGCCGGCCACATGGGGCTTTCCTCGGGCATCTGATGATTTCCTGAACCCTGAGCACTGCAGACACACAAACCAACTTTCCAGCTTGTATCTCCCCAAGCCACTTCTTCCCATTTTCCCATTTAATTGATAATCAGGCCAGATACGGAATTTTAGGTTAAAATGGAAGGTACTGCAACAATTTAAAAAATCTATTTTGATTTTTGTTTCCAAGTAGATGATCTGATCTTTCTGTTTGGAAAATTTGAGGATCTGGAAATGTACTGCAGCTGGTCCCGTGTGTCCTCTCCCCTATCTGCCTTTGTTTTTGAGGTGGAGTTTTGCTCTGTCTCCCAGCCTGGAGCGCAGTGGCGCCATCTTGGCTCACTGCAACCTCCGCCTCCTGGGTTCAAGCGATTCTCCTACATGCGCCAGCACACCCAGCTAATTTTTGCATTTTTAGTACAGACAGGGTTTCACTATGTTGGCCAGGCTGGTCTCAGACTCCTGACCTCAGGTGATCCATCCCCTTCAGCCTCCCAAAGTATTGGGATTACAGGCATCAGCCATGATGCACAACCCGATTTCTTAAAATTTAGACAAAAATGTATGCTTATGATGCTTTTTACTGGTTTGCTTTCCAAGAGGAATGCAATAATTGACACTGATATTTCATTTCAAGTGGTCTCCTCTAATTTAAGAGAGTGTAGGCTGGGTACAGTGGCTCACACCTGTAATCCCAGCACTTTAGGAGGCTGAGGCGGGCAGATCAAGAGGTCAAGAGATGGATACCATCTTGGCAAACATGGTGAAACCCCATCTCTACTAAAAGTGTGGTGGCGCACGCCTGTAGTTCCAGCTACTTGGGAGGCTTAGGCAGGAGAATCGCTTGAACGCTGGAGGCAGAGGTTGCAGTGAGCTGAGATTGCACCACTGCACTCCAGCCTGGGCAACAGAGTGAGACTACATCTGAGAAAAAAAAAAAAAAAAAAAAAAAAAAACAAAACAAAACAAAAAAACAGAGAGTGTTGCTGTTATTTGTATTTTTGTTTCTTTGATGCCAAGGAAAGTTTGCTGAGCACCCCCTCCATGCTGGGCCCTTCTCTAGGTGCTGGGATGCCTCAGTGAACAGAGTGGACCAAGTGGGCTTCTGTGTACTTACAGTCAATCAGGACAGACAGCCCTCGCTCTGTGCTGGGCACTGCATGGCCTGGGTGACAATTACTATGAAGCAAAGGAAACCTGAAAGGGCAGACAGAGAAGTGGGTACCAAGTCAGAAATGGCCTTTCTAGCAAGGTAGCATTTAACCTCAGCCCTAGAGGGAGGCCACAAGTGGAAAATGAACATATTTGGAGCAAAATGTCAAATATAGTCTCTGTATATTTATGAATATGGTTTTGGCCTGGCAGATCCCTTGAAAGGGCCAGGAGGACCTCCAGGGGCTGCAGATCACACGTTGAAAATCACTGGACTACACATTAATTTCAGTACTATTTTATAGTGTAAGTGGAAACATTTTAGAAAATGTCTTAGGAAGTACATTTCTATTATAACTCATATAGGAATATATTGTTGTTTCTTCCCAAAGGGTCCATCTTGCTGGGATGATGTTTTAATTCCAAACCGGATGAGTGGCGAATGCCAGTCCCCACACTGCCCTGGGACTACTGCGGTAAGTACCTGGTCACGTTCATTCCTCTTACTGCAAGAAAATGATGACGTCTTCACTGTTTGCTAGGAAATTAGAGACGAAAATGTCAACTGACTCTTCTTCCATCTGATAATATTACCAAAAGTGTTATGATATTCAAATATGTTAATTACATTCACCAAAAATCCAGCCTGTGCCACTGCCTTCCAGGGTCGCTTTCCTAGTGACTTGACCATTTTGGGTGCCCATGGGAACTGTGCCAATTTAAACGCCTTACAAAGTTATATCCATGAAAAGAAAACGAAAGCCAGTTCAGAGCCTCCAAAAGAAAAATAACAAAAGCGTAAGGTTCACCTTTTTTCCTGCTCCAGTGATACTTTATATTTATATTCCGTGTCATTCACAATTGCCTTTTTTCCTACCTTTCTTTAGCAGTGTTCTCACATAGCAGACTATTACAAAATATAGTATGGGTGGCCAGCTATGTAATTCAATTCCCATCCTCTGTTCTTTACAGCTCTTTCTCTCTTTGCAAGTATGTGCCATATGTTTCATAGAGAGCAGATATTTCCTGAAAAAAACCCTAAGCTCTGAATTTATTTTTAAAGTAATTTTGTTATCGTGGTCATGCTTAACATGTATATTGTTATTTTTTTTAACCTCAAACTTCGCTGGCTCCATCGTAGTCTGCCTGTATACATTTCCTGAGTTGTAAATACTGTTGTGGTGCCAACTCAAATGTCAGCGTTAGCTCCCAAACTGTCAGAGCCAGCTGGCAGTTAATATCTTCTCTAAGGAACAGAGTCTGTCAAAAGCAACAGGTGCAGTGTTTGAGCGAGAATCATTAGAGGAGCTTTCTCTCACCATTCTGCTGGCTGTTCACAAGGATACCAAGATAGCAGTCGGCAACAATGAACTCTCCGCCACACTAGGGCTAGGGGCTATCAACAGATTTTTATTCACCCAGATCCTGAAGAAAGAAATCCTGGAGAAAAATAATGACTTGTATGACACTCACAGATTTCTTAGACATGACACAGTATTGCAAGTTTCCTACTGGGATGAAATTAAAATGCATATATCATAGGGCAGAATTTTTTTTTTTTTTTTTAAATAGAGTCTCGCTCTGTCACCCAGGCTGGAGCGCAATGGTGTGGTCTTGGCTTACTGCAACCTCTGCCTCCCAGGTTCAAGCAATTCTCCTGCCTCAGACTCCTGAGTAGCTGGGACTACAGGTGTGCACCACCACGCCTGGCTAATTTTTGTATTTTTAGTAGTGATGGGGTTCCACCATGTTGGCCAAGATGGTCTTGATTTCCTGACCTCTTGATCTGCCTGCCTCAGCCTTCCAAAGTGCTGGGATTATAGACATGAGCCACGGTGCCTGGCCAGGGCAGAATTCTTAAGTATAATCACATACCTTCACATGTATACAGATGTAATCTGTATATATTGTAGCATACCTAATATGTAGATATAATTACATATTACATCTAATAATGTAATTACATATACATCTACATTTCCACATACATATATATGTTATACATATGTACATACATATAATGTTGCCCCTAAAAACTTGTACGTAGAAACCGATGGGTTTATGCTTACCGGTTTTTAGGGTCAATATTAAATGTATGTATGTTATACATATATACAACATTATATGTATAATGTTTAAGTTATATCTATAACTTAAAACTGAGTTTGGGGCCAGTATTCACTCTTCCTGGGTGGTACATAAAGTCCTGTGTGTAGAATGTTGTTTCATGCAGCGTGAGTTGTAGTGCTGGGTACTGGGCTGACAGTAGCCCAAATCCGTTCCCCACACTGGCTGCGCTCATGAGGCCCGCCAGCCTGTGACATTCCCGGGGACAAATGAAGCTTCTTCACACTCATTGCACTCACCAGGCATCTCCTCCATGTGAGCGTTTGGGATGCTTAAGGCCTGAACGAACGTGGCTGGAGAACCTCCCATAGGAGGCGTCTCCTTGGTGTGAATTCTCGGTGCTGAGTGAGCGGGAACTTTCTCAGCCTGGCTTCCCCCACAAATCCCTTCTGCAGGGTGGACTTTGGAATTCTGAAGGAGGTGACAGCTTTGGCTTCAGGTTCCCTCATCTACCCTGCACTCAAAAGACCCTTCTTTGCTCAGAACATCCTGGTGCTAAACAAGGAGGGACTCGTGGAGGCTTCCTTGTGATCGCAGCACTTGAAGGACGTGTGGACTTGCTCACACTCCTAACACATACGGGACTTGCCTGGTGAATTTTCCGGCAGTAAATATTGGCTGCCGCTCCTTGGGTCGTTTCCGAACACCATGCATTTCTAGGTTCAGAGCTGGGCCTCTCTGTCTTGGCTGGATTCCTGTCCTTGCTGTTCAGTCCCCTGGCCCCCTCATCAGCTCCAGCTGTGTGGCCACGTGGGGGTGGTGGCCTCAAGTCCCAGTGAGGTCTCAAGTTCAGAGGTCTTCAGTGTTCGACATGGACCACACCCCTCCGGGCCCCTTCTCCAGGAGAGACAGCCAGCTGTGTCCTCAAAGGTCATGATCCCTGTGCAAAGGTCATTATCTTCCCTGCCCTTATTGAAACCTCAGGCTGGGGACCTCCAAGGAAGCAACTCCTGGACCATTCACCTGAATAGTGAATAGAATTGGAAATGCACTAACTGAAGTTTAAAAGACAGTGACTCTTAGACTGGATTAAAGGAAGAGAATCTAGCTTTATGCAGGTTACAAAAGACATACCTAAAGCACGTGAGCGGAAAAACAGCTTAAGTAAAACAATGGAAAGTAATAATCCACGCAAGTATTAACTCAGGAATCCTGTTGAAACCATTTTAATTGCACATAAAATGCATTTTTAGGGGAGGGTGGAAACATTCCTAAAAAGGAGACTTTGGCAGTTTTGAGGAAAAATATGTCCAGGAAAAACCTCCAAACCTTCATGATGAGGTTTTGAGGATAGAAAAGTTTAGTAACTCAGGAAGAAATGGTATGATCTTAGTAACACGGATTCAAAATATACTAAGGAAACATTGTCAGAGTTAACCAAATACATGGATAAATTTAACACCATGGTAGAAGGAAGAGTTGAGGGCTCCTGCAGTACAAACTTAGTAAGGATATGTCCAATTCATACAACCAGTGAGCCCACGACATCCGGAGAGAGTCCTTGTTAACTGGAGGATATCAACATCTGGTCATGTTTAAAGAAATTTAAATATCAGCCAGGCATGGTGGTTCATGCCTGTAATCCCAGCACTTTGGGAGGCCGAGTTCGAGACCAGCCTGGCCAACATGGAGAAACCCTGTCTCTACTAAAAGTACAAAATTAGCCGGGTGTGGTGGTGCATGCCTGTAATCACAGCTACTCAGGAGGCTGAGGCAGGAGAAATCCCTTGAACCCGGGAGGCAGGAAGCTGTGGTGAGCAGAGATTGCGCCATTGCACTTTAGCCTGGGCAACGAGAGTGAAACTCTATCTCAAAAAAAAAAGGCAATTTAAATATCAGTAGCAAAAATATAACTCTAAGACATGACATTCAAATCACGGAGTCAGTGTGAAGATCTCAATGGAAGTAAGAGACCAAACAGCAGTGAAAGCGCAGCACGTGGCAGATATTTTGGAATGTAGCTAAATTTGTACTTAAACAGGGAATTAAGGATCATAGATGCTTCAAATACATTCTTATCAAGGTAGGAAAACGAAGCATCATATCTATTTTTTCTTCCGTATTTAATAACCACCAAAGAAATGTCTGTTGAGTGAAGGAGCTGAAGGTGTGAGCTGTCACCATGCCAATAGCTAGCCCCGGCTCAGTGTTCAGTGTGAGTTGAATTATTTCACTCACTTTTAAAACCATGTTTCTGAATTGCATTTTCACAATACAGCTAAATATAAATTCTGACTCCTGTATTTTCTAAAGTCAAGGTTTTGACAGTATTTTGGACCCTATATTTATTTTATACATTTTAGATTTATTAAAATTTTTCATTTCTATCACTTAGACAAAATTTCCATGTTCTTAGAATTTTAAATAGCAGTGTTCCTAATATATTCTTAATTAATTAACATGTGTACACTTAAAGATAATCTTAGTAGATCATTTTAAATAGCAGTAAAATTTACCATTGTTTTTTACCAGTACAAATACAAACTTGACCTTAACTCTATTTTAGACAGAGAAACCTGAACCTAATTCAGCTTTATGCTAATCACTGTTATTTTAGGAGAGAGCATACCAATACTATTAGTTCTTACCTTTTTATAAAAAGAATTCTTGTCAGCTCAAAGGAGATATGCTTGAGATTAAAAAGGGGATAAAATCAATTAGGATTTTCTCAATTAGTGAAATTAACTCAACTTTGGATATGGCATATGACTTTAATTATTCTGTGCCAATCTTCATTTTATGATTTACCTATGATACCTTAAACCAAGCCTGTCCAGCCCATGGCACCACATGTGGCCCAGTTCAGCTTTAAGTGTGGCCCAACACAAATTTGTAAACTCTCTTAAAACATTATGAGATTTTTTAAAATGAGTTTTTAATTTTTTTTAGTTCTTCAGATATTTTCAGTGTTGGTGTCTTTTATGTGTGGCCCAGGACAATTATTCTTCTTCCTTTGTGGCCAAAGGAAGCCAAAAGATTGGACACGCCTGCCTTAAACACTTAAAGCAATATTTGTGTTTGTATGTATATTGGGGAAACGTGTGTTTCTCTTACTTGGGCACATATAGGCTAAGGACAACCCCAAAGATTTAGTGTCTGAGCATTATTTTTGGGTTCTGAATCCTAACTTATAACACTGAGCTACCCTGTCATCAAACGCTCCCCTCTGAGACCTCTGGCTGCAGGGCTGCTTCTGATAACGAGGTGCCCCTTAGCCAACCGTGAGAACCTCACACCTGACGGTCACATAGTGGGGTTTAGGATCGGGGGTATTTCCTCAAATAAAAAAGAAAGAAAATTTAAATGATCGCTTGAAAGTCGTAAATGACCAAGGTCATTTTGAAGAAAT